GCGCGGCACACCCGCCTGGCGCCGGAGCTGGGCGCTCTCGGCTTGCTTTTTTCCATCCATGTCTGCTGTGTCACACGTCTTGCGGGCGGGTTTTTAAAGGGAAAAAAAAGGCATACCCCGGCCTCCATTCCCACGGCGGGAGCTTCCCTGGTTGTTCTCCGGTTAGGTCGCAGCACATCTCCGCCGCTGCCCTCTCTCCTATCGCACCGGTGCTCTCCCTCTCAGATAATCGGGACACACCGAATACTGCGGCACAGATGGATATGAGGGGACACCAGGAGCCGTTATTCAGCTTCCAGGGTAATTTCAACCGTTTTCTCCGTGGTATTCTCAGCTGGGCCTGACCCCACCACCAGTGTGATTAAAGGTCCATATAATGTAGCCAGTCAGCAAAAAAAAAAAAAAAAAGAAAAACCTCCCGATACCGGTTGCTATGCAAGGTCTCCCGTGGCAACAGCTATTTACTGCGAAAGGCTCTTGCCTCAGGGACCTTTTTCCGAGGGCTTAAGTTCTTACACTGGTTCTTGTCGTAGTTCCTGCGGGAAGGTCTGGCTCTCCTCGCGTGTCCCGTCTGCACTTCTGTGATGCTGTAGTGCCGGGCGTCTGCTGGAGCCAGCCCTCCGCAGAAAGGATGGCGATGGATGGGGAAGGGCTTGGGGATCTCCTCCCGCGATACGCGCTTGGTGTTGGTGAGCTGGCAGGATCCCTGGGGTTGCTGGTGCTCCGGCAGCTGGTGGACGCGAGTACATCACATGGACCAGATTCACTCTGTAGTGTGCCATGGGGTATCCCTGTTTATTTAATTACTCCACAAGACCACTCCATATGCACTAGGGGATAAGGCAAGGTCCCACTTGTTCCATCGAATACCAAGACGGGGTGGCCTGAGTAGGGTCTGAATCTGGTTACAACAAACCTGCGCTGGGATGAGCCTGGTTTAAAAGTTTCTGCACAAACGGGCTGGCAGGAGCAGAGTTCAGCCACCTCTCCTCTTCCGCTGTCACCAGCCTTTCCAAAATCGTTGATTTGGGAGAAAGGCACGAGGAATGTGGTGGTGGACGGGCGAGGGCTCCCCTTGTGCCGGTCTCAGAAGGCAGGCCAACCCCAAAGGTCTCTGCGGTGGATCCTCTGCCAGAAGACACTCCTCCATCACCAAGAGGGAGAGGTCAACACCTCTGATACAGACAGAGCAATAAACATTTTATAATGTACAATAAAAGGTTAAAGGCACCTCCTGTGTCCTTGTAACATCTGATTTTAGTAATAGTTCACCTTCGAGCGGGACACACACAGCGGGGGGGGGTCCTTCTCTGTGTTTCCCAGGGACCGCAGCATGGAATGTTCCCTGTGCCTGGGTATAGGAAACCAGAAAGGTTCCCCAGAGTTCACGCTGGCTGCCGGACGAGAAAGGGGGGGAACTGCGCAGCGTACATCGCGCCACAGCGTACCTGGCAAGATTCCTCAGACAGGTCTCATCTCCTCAGAAAGAAATGCCGTTTGGAACCCGTAGCCCTGTAAAGGGAGCCTGGGGACAGATGGCACGGCACGTGCCAACGACAAGGGAGATGCCCTCTCCTAACCCGCGAGCGGATGGCCCTCGGAAGCCCGCTAGCGAGGAAATTCAGCCTGGTAATTTGTCTGGGGGGGTGGGGGGTTACATGTCCGGTTTTAAGGACAGCTGTCCCAGAAATTCAGACCACATCCCCTTTTTTACAGTACCTGTTGTTCCCCAGCGACAGGTTTAAACGATTTCTTTCCTAGCAGAGATGTGCACAAAAAGAGGAAATAAAACACACGGCACCACTGTTTGCTCAGAGTTAAGTATCCGAATCATAACGTGGGAGGAGGTAAAAGGGTTATTGTTATGTTCCAAAACTGCAGGCGTTGAAGGCAAAGTAATAACGCCATTAGTGGGAAGAAACAAACATCGGCTGGCAGCAACCCAGCTCGTGGGAGAGGGACTCCGAGCTGCCCAGCTCGAGTGATCCGTCAAAGGAAACGTCTCAGCAAGTGATGCCATAAGCCCAGACCTTAGGAAAAGGTGTTTCCCAGGAGAAGGGAAGGAGGTGACTTAAGGTCCTACTTCTCTGCGGGTCATAGTGGTCAAAGCTGCTCTTTCCCGACCAGGTCCCGCTGGAGCCCGTGTCGGACAGCGCGACGGCTCCGCCTCTGCGGCTTCAAGCCTAAGCCCAGCTCTAGAAAAAGCACCTCGTTCCCGCCAGGAGATGCCAAAAGGTGCTCCTGGGATGGTTTAAGGCCAAGAAGGGAAGAGACCATGAGAAAAACCACCCAGGTGGCGCTGAGGAAGGCACGTCGGCCGCAGAACGCACCCCGACCACCACCCCTGCTTCCTGGCATGCGTTTGCCCCGCTCCTGGTTCCGCCGGGTTGTTGGAAGCGGAGCTGGGAAAGGGAGGCTCCAATAACCACTGAGGAGCAGCGGGTGGGAGGGGGCTGGGATGACAGGGGTCCCAGAGCGCCCTGCAAGGGCCGATGCCCCGCTGAACTCGGAAGGGAAGGGGGCAGCCCCCCAGCTCTGCCGACGCCGTGCAGCCCCCGGGGACTAAGCCGGCTGATTTCCATGGTTCGGCTGAGCAGAAGCTACGGGCACCAGAAGGAGGAAGAAGCTGGAAGCAGAACCTTTGCCAACATACGCCGGGTGTTTGAAGCGAAGCGCCACTTGCCTCCATCCTTCCCAGCGCTGCAATATTATGCCTACAAGTACAATTTCGCCAATATATTCCTCCCCCGTGAGTTCAGTGAAACGGAGCCGCAGGAGGTGGTGTGGAGCAAACAATCCCGTGCAGCACGTCCTTCCGACTCCCAACACAGCGCCGTCCCCTTCTCCCCACCTCCCCGGCGCACGACGCGCAGCAGCACGCGCTCAGCTCTCCGTCTCCTCGGAGGAAAAGGGGAACATCGGTCACGTTACTCCCTGGCAGCTCAGTAGCACCAGGGAGGAAACACCTACGTGGCAGAAAGCGTGAGGGTAATCCCAGCGGGAAAGGCCTCGCTGGAGGAGCTGCAAGCACCAGGGTTTGCCAGAGACACTAAAGGCTCCATCACTCAGAAGCGCATGTACAGCTGTGCTCCATTCTGCTGCTAAAAGTACGGCGATTCCTTGACCGAGTAGTCAGGCTTCGCTTCCCGAGAGAGTGGAAGATGGCACCATATGTCACACCAAATGTCACTTCCCCAGATCCGCAGAAAAGCTCCCTAACGACGTGTAATGAGCCATTAGTGGCCGGTCTGGAAGCTGCAGCCGAGCTGGCCGGATTCAATCGGCTTTGTAGCATTTTTTTGAGAGCGCTGTAGGATGGACATGCTTGTTATGCCAAAACATCTTCTGTTCCTGCCACAAAGCTGCTGTCTGCAGAACAGGCTGGTGACCGCAGAGATCAAAGTGATCACGTTCCTACTTGTCCGTGCGCTCATCCGCACGTCGAGGAAAGCGGGCTGGATTCCCCGTCCGCTCATGCATCAGCATCAATTTGCTTGAAGTTCCAAGTGAAGAATCCTTATTATTAGCAGGAGAGCCAGGAAAGGCGCAGCTTGAGTTGTAGATCCCAGATGGAGTCAAAGTTGGCAGCCGGGAAAGCCATCGCTTCACTGTCCACGTGAGCACAGCGCGCGCGGAGTCATAGCGGCGTAGCCCCGCGATGCCAGCACACCGCTGTCCTTTGGAACGGACAGAGCCCCCCCAAACCCACACACTTAGTGCCACCAACTGCTGGTATAACCTATTGATCCCATCCAGACCTGTTCTGCAGAGGATGCAACCAGCACAGCGCTAGGCATCCTCTCCGACCAAAGGGGGAACAGCATCCGCTCCCTCTATGTCACGTTTCAGGACACAATTTCCTCCTCCCATTCAGCATGCCCTTGCAGCACAGGAGCAGGGAACACCCTCGGAGAGGACAGCAGAAAAAGCCCCGCTGCAGCTTGATTTCCACCTCATTGTTTCCTCAGACGGCGAGACGGCGATAGGCTGACGAGCGCCACTACATTTTTAATTGGGAGACATTTCATCGCAGCGCTCGCACGGAA